GTGTGAGGGTTGTAAATGCCGCTGGACAGTAATTTTCTCATGGACGTTCAGCATTTTCTGTCATCCTTCCGACTGCAACATACTTCTGTACTTGATTGCACTTGCTCCTAGAACTACGGTTTCAGTCTAGCAAGATCTGTTACAGTTTAGCTTTTGGAATAGGTAGCCATGTTAGTCAGTGCTAGTATGGCAGACAAAAAAATAAATAAAATGAAGAAGAGGAAAACATTGTGGCACCTTAGGGACTAACTGCTATATTTCTGAAGAAGCAGTGGAGTTGTCCATGAAACCTCACATTAAAATATAGCAGTTAGTCTTTAAGGTGCCACAATGTTGTTGTTTTTTCTTTTGCCTGACATGTTTAGCTTTTATCTTCTGTAACACTGCTTATCAGATCATTTGAATTTTTGAAATAGTGAGGCTCAAAAGTCATGAGTATATATAGATTCTCAGCTGAAGATACAATTTAGCCATGTCCGCAAACTATGAGCAAGCTACCCTTTACTTTGGTGGCTTCTGCTGATTATAGTTTCATATTTTTCTGCAACAGAAAGACATATTTGTGTTGAAAAACATGTGACCTTGGATCCATGGCTGCCTGAAGTCCCCAGACACGTTTGCATGTGTATTCAGTTGTACGAGTACGAAGCAGCCTTTATTCCCAGGGAATCCGAAGGTGATATAAGGAGCGTCTTTTCGGATTATCATAGACTTCAGGCTAACAATGGTTTAATAATTACCACAGTAAAAGGGAGACGTTGGAGCATGGTGATAACTTCATGTAGTGCACAGTATAAATTATTCTAGGATTTGACACTGTGGGGATGGGGAGGGTAAAAGAGGTTACAAGTAGTAAAACAATAATCAAGGGCCCAAATCTTTTTCCCTAGTTATGCTAGCATAACACGAAGGACAAAACTTTTGGAGGCAAATTGCTTCAAGTTATCACTTTATGTATATTTGTTGCATGCTGAGTTATATGATAATGTGCAACTGATATTTCCAGCGATTTCTTCACCTGGGTCACTTTACCTCAGAGAGCTATACCATCTGCATAGCTATGCAAGTGAATTTGGACCAAGGTTTTCATCCTAAAGTTAACAGTTCCTATACTCTTAGATTGATTTTAAATTGTGTGTTAAAAAAGAAGTGTGTAGTCAGCAAAACAGGCAGGTGTTTTCTTTACTAAAAAGCTCAGTCCCAGCTGACTAATTTGCATGATGGTCTTTTCCCCCTCTTCCAGAAGGGTGTGGGGATAGCTGTCTGTCATGAATGATCTTCAGAAATTACCACCCCTCTCTTTTTCTGTATGTGTACAGAAAACTCTCTTCTCCTGTCAGATTTAACTTAAACTAGACCCTAGATTTCTTCATAGTATTTTACTTTATTCAGAGGCTTAGAATTTCATGATTGTGGTTTTACTGCACTTGTCAGTAGAAATTAAGCTGTACAGTAGTTTAAAAACTAGAAAATGGCATTTAATCAGTGCAGATGGTGCTTGTTTTTATTCAAATTAGTTTACGCTCCTACTTTTAAAAAAATGATGAATTTTGTGCAGAGAAGGGTTTGTTCAGAAGTGCTGGCAAGCCAAAACTGTCCATAAGGACCGTCAGTTTGCACATGAGAATTTAAGGAAAAGAGCCAAGTGATTCATAGCTCTTAACCAGACTTCTATGAATAAAGGTGTGTCTTTCCTGATTTTTTTTCTCTTTATGTGGATGATTCTGTATGTGAAATCATTTTGAAGATAACAAGAGAGCATAATTAATAAGCATTACTACAGCAGCTTATTTTTATCCTGGTTTCCTCTGTGATAAGCCATGCTTAAAAAGCTGGTGCCGATATAATAAAAGTTCATTTAATAAGAATCCAAGGTAACAATTGCAAGGCATAACAAAACATGGTCATAAAAATATTGACATAGACTATAGTATTCGTTAAAATAATAAAACAGTAAATTATAATAGTAAAGTATCATCCCTAGATTGCTATATAGTAGGAGCCTCATATCCACAGGCTTGTTATACCCAGTCTCAGTTACCCTCAATTTAACACAGCTGTATATACAACATAAAAGGGGCAGGCCTTATGGCATTTGTCCCACCCCCTTGTAGCTTTTCTCCCACCTCCTATGATATATACCAGTGGTTCTTAACCTTGGGTAATGCAGGTGTTCTTGGACTGCAATTCCCAGAAGCCTTCACCACCAGCTATGCTGGTTGGGGCTTCTGGAACTTGCAGTCCAAGAACACTTGGGTTACCCAAGGTTAAGAACCACTGATATATACAGGCTTTGCTGCTATCTGCTATTTCAGGCATTTGCAGTAAATTATGGAATGGATCCCCTGCAGATATAAGGATCCTATTGTATTTATAATGTCAGAACTTAACTTGCTCCCATTTATTATAAGGATTGTGCGAATAATTTATATAAACCCTAAAATGTTTAATCATAGTTTACATAAGTATATAATGTTCCAAACCTTAGATCTGTTAATTATTTTGGTGTTTTAGCTGTAGTCATTCTTCCTGTTCCTCCTGTCAGTCTTTCTGTAACCAAATTACTCATTTACATGAGGTAGATTTGCCATACTATAATGTATAATAGTCATGAAGAAGGAAAAAATGGTGATAACTATCTACAGTATATAAACATACAGAAAGAAATTCTTTCCTGAAATCTTAATTTTAAGGCATTGTCACTGTTGCTTAATTATAATTAAATTCACATTCCAGATCCACATGTCCAACATTTGCTAATTATGCTAATAGATTTCTTAAGCATTCCAAAATAACTTACTGTTTGTATAGAATCATTAAATAATAGGTGTCCAGAGGTGAATGTTTTAGAGTTCTATTTGCAGACATGTTTCTATTATTTGTCTAAATGTTATGTACTTCTGTCTGATTTTCCTGGTGGCCTACTTATGCATGCTAAAATCTGATGTAATTTTTTTTTAGCTGAAGGGCATAGCTGTGTATGTAGAAATATATAGCCTTTCATCCAGTGTGTGAATTAGATTGATATGATTGCTATGCAGAAGTCTTTATGATGTAGCATGAGAGTTGCCAGATATAGTGAACGACTGAGCCTTCTTTTTAAATTTATGCCAAATTTTTAAAATAAAGAATAGATGTGTGGTTCACAAGAGGTAAATGGTACCCCAGACAAAAAAAAAAACCCTATTCTGAATTCCAGCAAAAAATTTTTTGCAAAACATTATTTGTGTTCTTAACAAAGTAGCATGCTTGGTAGAAAATGGTATGTTCCATTCTACTTCACAGTGGGTTGGTTCAAATAAGAACCTAAAAGTGCAGCTAGATGAGACTGAGGACTCTGGTCCAGCATTATTTTCCCACAGTAAGCAACCAGCTCTCTCTTCTTCAGAGTGGTAGTCTTTAAGGGGTTGAATAATTGTGGCAATGAAGAAACCACAAAAGAAACATTTACTACTGTATTACATAAACAATTGATGTTATTTTAGTTGCATTTGGTTCTTTAAAACTCCAAATTTACACTATAGTCCCTAAACCCCTTTACAGCATTGGGGGTTGAATAATTTTGAACACAACTGTAAATATAGTAGCACCCTTCAGCTTGTATTCACTGGCAACTGGATACATAAGTGTATAGCTCCTGAAATTGGATGAAAAAGCTAGATGTGGTGACTCATAGCCATTGATACATGATGGGTTGTTAGATGCAATAAACTTATGTCTCTCCCTGATCCCACATCAAGAGGGGGGAAATGAAAGTTTTTACTTTTAACTCTATCACCATTTTCTGTTATATATGAAATCTGGGAACAATAGCTTATTTATTCCTTAGTGAACAAACCAGGATATTGAATCACGTTGATGGATGGCCATCTGAAGGCGCAGCCAGGCCAATAATTTTATTTACATTATATTTTCCCTTATCTGCAGATACTTCTGTTCCAAACCTATTGAGCTGAATATGGATCAATGGAAGAAATTAGAAGAAGAAATAGAAGCAGTTCAGTTAATCAGCAAGCAATGAGCTATAATGTTCAGAATAGTTCTCCATAAAGATCTCTAAAATTCTTCAGATCTATTTAACCTTTGTACTAGTCAACATACACCTGGTAATAAAATATGAATATGAAGTCTAGGGTCACAGAGGAATACAGTTATAAGGCAGTGTGAGGACAACCATACATAAACTATTGGCTCTTCCAGTTCCACCTAAAGTGATCTGAGAGAGCCAGTGTAGTGTAGCGTAGCATAGTGTAGTATAGTGTTATAGACAGTATATCAGACTAGGACTCAGGAGATCTTAGTTCAAATACTTGCTTGGTTGTGGAAATTTACTGGGACCATGGCTCTGTTAATAGTACACATTAGATATCTCATATATCTGGGAAACACTACTAGGGTGATGATTAGTCAGAATCTGTTTGACAGAATATCACACACAAATTACTTTGCTGAACAGGAAAGATGCTTTTTCAGGTCATTATATGGGTTGCTTGTTTAGAGGTCTGTGTGTGGTTGCTGTGAAATTGCTAGATCCTGGGCTGCTAATTTTGTTCTCACATGCAGCTTTAATGCTTCAAGCCATTAAATTTAATCCAATCTATTACTAAATGTGTATTTCATGGTGAAAGTGGTAATGGAAGCGGTTATACCTATCACTTTAAACTCATAAATCTTTTTATTTCATGACATCATATGTAACGGTTTTGAGTGTACAGCACATCCAAATTCTTTTTTCTTGAAGTGAAAACTATGTCTCAGTTGATTTTTACAGCACTAATTTTTTGTATAACCCGAGCCATTTTAGGAAGATGTGGGAGGAGTGTACAGTATTCCAATATCCATTTACTAGAGAAGAGACGGGTGGGAAGGGGCAGTTGTAGAGATAACTTTAATTTCTGTGTACCATATGGAAAATGCATAAAATATTTTTCTCTTTCTTTCTTCTCTTCATCACATCTATATTGGTGAATGTTCCTGCAAATCCTTGGTGAAACTTTTAGAAACTTTTGGTATGCTCATTCTTTCATTAGAGCCCAAAGTCATTGACTATACTATAAAACTATGAAAAGGGGGGAAACCATAGTTTCCTAAAACTAAAGCATAATTAAAATGTGCACTTGGGGTGGTGGCTCAAAGATGGGGTTATTTTATATTAGAGAAACCTTTTTTTTCCTTAAAAGTGCAGAAGACAATAATTTTTTGATAACAGGTTGCCATTACAAACCAGTAAAAATAGACTATACTTAAACTTCCTCAAGCTTTCAGTGAAGCAGTCTGATAATTTGATGTGCAGATTAGGCACACAACAGCTAAACCACACTTTAAAACAAAGTTGGGGAATGTATTGTCCAGATGTTGTTGTACTGCAGCTGCCACCGTTAGCTGTGCTAGCATAGGACTGAGGGGAGTCCAAGCATCATGAGGGCAGAATGTTCCCTGACCTTGATTTAAAGAAAACAAAATACTACTTTAAAATTCTATATTTTTTTTTTAGTTAGCAATTTTGTTTCTGTTCTTCACAAGGTAAGAGTAAAAAGGGAAGTTTAATAACTATAATGTACAGATTTGCAAACAATAAGCAGAACGGTCAAAAACAACACAGGCCTGATTCAGCACAGCAAAAGCCATCTTATATAGTCTTAACATATTTAGTTAAAAATAAGTCACACACTGTTCAGTAGTGGTACTCTGTGTGATTGCAGATCCTTTTAAAACAAAAGTTTTAATTGGGTAGCAGAATTTCCTGAGTGAGATTAACAAACTGATATCTTACATGAAGGCATACATGAATACATATATGAAGGGGTACAACAGATTAAACCTTCCTCTGCAGCCTCTATCAGTTTTATAAAAGAAAGAATGTGAAAGAAGACTTTCCAGTGAATATTAAAAAGGGAGAACCATACAAGAGTAGAAATGCAGATTGTAGAATAAATATGTGAGTTGTATAGCCTGAGACTACATGACCAGCTCACCCTTTTTTACAGCCTCAGCTGTACTTATTTTCCCAGTGTTTGGATTAGGCAGTATAATAATTTCATTTGGGGGCTAGCTGCACATTAAACCAGGTGGTAGAAAAGGAATAGGGTGTCAGACCTCCCTAGGCTATCATCCCCTGCAGTAATATCATCATTAGTAGTTTTCTTAGCAACAAACTTCTTGTGAGTACAGGTGCACTGACACCTAAGTATTCTCCTTGTTTAAATTGAAAGATGGGCTCTGCAGAGCTGAATTTTCTGTAACAAAGAAACTAAAAGGGATAAATTGTGTTAAGAATGTATTTGGAATACTAGCTTTGCGGTGCGATAACTGAAAGCCAGTGTTAAACAGCATGCATTCATTACATGTGCATTTTCTTAACTTAAAACACTCTTACTCTGATTTTTTTTTTGCATCAATAAATTCTATTAAAGACTGTGGGGTGTTACTATGGTTAGAATCCCTTTAGGTCTTAGAATGCACCATACAGTCCCTTAAGTTGGTTACTATGGTTGAAACACCTTTAGGCCTAAAAATGCACCATACAGTCCCTTAAGTGGTGAATGTCAAAGGTCTCAAAACGACAGGATCCCATTGAAGTAGAAAATTACACAAGGCAAGATCCAGAAATGTCTGTATTTAATTCAGTATAGACTGAGCAGCCACTACAGACCATGATTGCCAGTAGCAGTCCTTTGTCCCATACAGTAAAGCAAGCTGTGGTAGTTAAACAGTTCCTGATGTGACTTAGAGGTGTATTTATTCTTTTATTCATATCCTTTCTGTTTGCTAAATAAGAGGCCCAAGGTGGCTGACAAATACAGAATTAAATATTAAATATAGATTAAAACTTAGTGTCAGCTGTAGCCAAGTAAAAATGCAGTTGAAAATACAATAGGTTAGAGCCAATACTCAACATAAAAAAATATCCTTCAACTCAACAAGACCTGCTGTATAAAAATGCATTTGCTTGCTGGCAAGACAACAGAAAGGGGACCTACTTAACTTCCCAAAACATAGGCATTCAAAGTATCTTCCGGTTCATAAGGAAGAATGTGATATTCCTCAGTGGAGGACAAATTTCTCATAGGGCTAGATCCCCATGGATATGTTCCTTCCTGTGCTCATGCTCAGATTCTCATTTTCTTTGTGAAAGTAAATCAAGTATTGTTGGATCTTTTATATTTAGTCCCATTTTCCATCTTCATCTGTGGGTAGAGAAAATATTTTTGTGACTAGAATATAATAAAATAAATAAAAGATAAATGAAATTGCCCTATTCAACTCTCAAAAGGTATTGGGAATTATTCTTGAAGAAGTCTTAATGAGATGACTGTGAAAAAAAAAGGCTTTCCAAGTTTTCTGTTGGAAGCTTTATTGGTTACCAAACCTTCTTTCTCCTCAGCTCTGCTGCATGTGCCAATAGGCCCAACTAGTTCAGCAACCTTACAGAAGAAGGAATACAGTCATCCTAGTTCTGGCCACTTCAGACCAGGATTCTCTACCTTTTCTGGCCAGAAATAACAAGTTCCTTTCACTTATAAGTACAGGATTTTACTGAATTACACTTACTGTGGTTTGGCTGATAATCATGTTCAGAGATTATTATTATTTTAAAGATTCTTAGTGCACATTTTACACAACCATGTAGAATGATATTACTCAGTGTATTAACACAAATACAAAATTAGTACTTTGAGGAAGTCTCTGACTGTGGGCATCTCTAATGTGCACTTTTTGTAACCCTGTGTTTTGCCTTTGCTTGCAATACTGCTGTGCACTTATTCTTCAGCTTGCAAACAGCCTTTAAGTAAAAGTGATGCTCTATAGCAAGGAGAATATTTTGCTCTCCAAAAACCTATAGGGTTTTTAAAACAATTTGCCTCCAGTCTTATCTAAGGGGTATGTGTGTTTGCATCACCTTAAAGCCTGCTGGCTTCTATAGTGGTGTGGCCTGTTAATTTAAACTAGCACAAGTAAGATATTGTTACTTGATAACTGTTACTTTAGATAACTGTTAGATCTACTGTAGAAATCTTGCTGCTTATAGAGTATGAGTTGAAGAGTACAATCTTGTTAGCAGTTTTTAAAATAGCTTTAAAATATTATTTTTAAAAATCCAGTTACAGTAGGAAATTATATTAAATGCTATGTTCTTATTTTTGCTTTCAGTGAAAGAGTTCCTAGCCAAAGCCAAAGAAGACTTTTTAAGAAAATGGGAAAGTCCCCCTCAGGTAATAAAACCACTGAAAATGTTACTGGCATGTAATTTGCATTTGGAGATAAAGGAAATAATGCATGCTGCCATATGTGCTTATAAAATAGAGGAACAAAAACCTCTAGGAAAGCATTGAACAAACTCTTCTATCCTATTAACATATTTTGTGTATTTATCCACATTTATTTTAAAAGTTTGAGCAAAGAAATACTTTCGGGATTTTTTCATTTCTGCGTAGACAACTCATAGGGAGGTTAGAATTCAGCATCTTTAATGTGCTTCATTGTAGTAGAAGGATGTAGTCAAATTGTTGTTAAGATTAGAAGAGTATAATGCAGTAGTTAGAGTATTGCACTAGAACTTAGGAGACCTGGGTTCCAGCCACAGGTGGACAAGAATCTGACTCAGTTACTTTGAGCCAGTCACATTCTCTTGGCCTGACCAACCTCATAGGGTTGTTGTGAGATAAAATGAGGGTAATGCCTTGACCTCATAACAAATAAAGGAACATTTTAAAAACATTATATGTTTCTTGTCATCTATGTAATTGTGCTACTTAGATGTAGGGGATGTAGTCAGGCACGAATCTGTGTACAGAGTGGAGTTGCTTAAGCATGTTTGTAGTTCCTGATTTAAATTGCTTTTTGAGATAAGTTAATGTATTTTAAATTCTGTACACAAAATAAAATTTGGCAGAAGGCTTCAAGAAGCACATTTAAACCCAGTCACCTGGCCAAGTATGTGGATCCTAGGCTGAATTGTTAATTACAATCCTTCTAAAGGCTTTGGTTGTTGATGGCACTGAAATGGAAATCATCTCTGCTCTGAAACTGAATGACTGTGGTAAAGGTGCTTTATTGGGAAAAATAAATGTGCTTTATTATTATTAAATGAGGCCCTGTGGGGCCTAGCAAGAGGAGGGAAATCAGAGATCAAAGCGATCCCACAGCCACGCTAAAGACAGCACAGGGCATAGCAAGAGGAGGGGAAAAGGGTAAGGCAGTGTGGCTGCGGGATCGCTTTGATCCCTACTTTCCCACGGGGCATAGCAACAGGAGGGAAAGCAAAAAACAAATGACCTGATGAATGACAAATTGATTCATTGTTTGTCGGGTCACTGGGGGCAATTTGTGGGTCATCAATTTTGATGACCTACAAACCAAGGCGAAGCCCCATTTTGGCCCTTCATCCCCATCTCTAGTTGTAATGTTTGCCTTCTCCAGGTGTAACTGAGCAATAGGATTTTGGCCATAGTCAATTTTTCTCTTGAATGAAAAGTATCAAGAATACTTTTTGAGTAAAGAAAAGAGAAATGCTGTATATACCACTAATTTCCTTTTACATTTGCAGTAGAATATGGTGTTTCCCTTATAAATGAATAATATAGTTGCTACTATATTTTTCATATAGTCATTTTTAATACTTAGAATATTCTATCGTATGTTTTCTGCTTATGTAGAATACTGCTGGTTTAGATGACTTCGAGAGGCTAAAAACACTTGGAACCGGCTCATTTGGCAGAGTCATGTTGGTGAAACATAAATCCACAGAACAGTATTATGCCATGAAGATACTGGATAAACAAAAAGTTAGTACATTCTTAATAATAATTTACTCTTTGTGTGAACTCTAGTTGTTGACATATGTTTTTTGCCAACTCGTGGTTCAGGTGGACCAGTTTGCAAAGGTTTTACAAGGTGCACTAACGATCCCAAGCATTTAAAACAGTTTTTGAACATTTTAAGACACACTTAAAATAGCAAAAACAGACATCGATAAGCGAAACAGGGGGACCTGAACTGTCATCACTAAGTGAGGCAAGGTCCTGAACATCACTATGCGAAATTTCCCCATAGGGAACATCGCTAAACAGAGCGCAAAATCTCTCCAAAAACCTCATCACTAAGCGAATACATCGTTAAACGAGGCAATCGCTAACCGAGGCACCACTGTATTTCTATGATCTGCCCTCAAAGACTACTGGATCTGGTTGGATTCCAGGATGCCATGAGAGGGGTTACGGCTGACCTGGCTGGCGCTCCTGTCGAGGCTCTGGTTGACAGCTGGTCTACCGCTGCCATAGGGCTATAGACATGATCGCGCCTAAACGGCCTCTCCTGCGTAGAGCTCGGCCTGCGCCCTGGTTTAACCAAGACCTTTGAGCAATGAAGCTATTTAGGAGAAGGCTAGAGCGTAGGTGGAGGAAGAACCCGACAGATTATAATTAGATAGCTGTCAGGGTCACAACTAACCTTTACCTGACTAAGGTAAAGGCTGCTTGTCGAACATACTTCGCTAACTGGAGAAGCGAACCTTCAAATCAGCAGGCGAAGTTATTCTGTATAGTGCGCGACCTATCCGGAATTGGTCTGGGTGACGGGCCTCCCCCTAGTTTTTCACCAGACGAATTTGCAGCATTTTAAAGATCTAAAGTGGAGGCCATCCACCGGGAGCACTCTCCTTTTTCGAATACAGTGAGTCGAGCTGAGATGTCCAGTGATATGTCTTGCCTGGTAACTTTCGATTCCTTTCATCCTGTGACACCTGATACTGTGGACAAGGTGCTTGATTGCTGTCGGGCCTCCTCCTCCTCCTCCCTTGACCCTTGCCTGGCCTGGCTAATCAGAGCAGCCAGGCCGATAACAACAGAATGGGCCACAGCAATAATAAATAGATCTTTCCTTGAGGGCAGGTTCCCACCTGCCCTCAAGGAGACACTCATTAGGCCTATAAGAAAAAAATTTAATATGCATCCATTTCAGTCGGGCTTCAGGCCGTGCCATGGTACAGTAACGGCATTGGTCACCCTGCATGATGACCTCTTGAGGGAGGTTGACAGGGGTAAAATGTCTCTGTTGGTCCTCCTCGACATCTCAGCGACCTTTGATACCATCGACCACGGTATTATCCTGGGGAGGCTCTCTAAGTTGGGAATTGGTGGCTTGGCGCTCGCCTGGCTCTGTTCCTTCTTGGAGGACCGCCCCAGAGAATGCAGCTTGGGGAGAGTGTTTTGGCCCCGTGGAGTCTCAATTGCGGGGTTCTACAGGGTCGATTATCTCCCCAGTGCTGTTTAACATCTATATGAGGCCGATGGGTGGGGTCTTCAGGGGCTGTGGGGCATTGTGTCATCAATATGCTGATGACACGCAGCTCTACATCTCCTTTTCACTAGCTGCAGGTGATGCCATTGTGTCCCTTCAGCGCTGCCTGGGGACTGTACTGCAATGGATGCAGGAAAATGGGCTGAGGCTGAATCCGGACAAGACAGAAGTTATGAGGGTGGGTGGCCCCGTGGTTGGCAGCTTGGGTGACTCATGTTTGGGGGGGTGCCCCTGGCCGCGAAGGGTGGGGTCCACAGCTTGGGGGTACCCCAGGACCCGATGCTCACCATGGAAACGCAGGTGGCGCCGGTAGTCCGCACTGCCTTTTTCCATCTTTGGCGGATTGCCCGGCTGCGACCCTATCTCGACACGGGGTCGCTCACCACCTTGGTGCATGCACTCGTAATCTCAAGATGAGACCACTGTAACATACTCTACGTGGGGCTGCCTTTGAGGCTGATGCGGAAACTTCAGGTGGTGCAGAATGCGGCGGCCAGACTCCTTAGTGGAGTGAAAAAATACCTGCATATTTCTCCTATTCTGGCCATGCTGCATTGGCTTCCCATTCGTTTCCGCATCGACTTTAAAGTTTTAATGCTTACTTATAAGGCCCTAAACGGTTTAGGACCTCGATATTTGGCGGAACGCCTGCTCCCACCAAGGTCTACCCAGATCACCTGTGCGAGTCAGGAGGTGAGGCTGAGGAGCCTGATGCCGGGAGAGGCGTGGAAGGAAAAGAGACGAAATTGGGCCTTCTCGGCGGTGGCTCCTCGCCTCTGGAACAACCTCCCTCCAGAGATTTGCGCGGCCCCCACGCTGGGTACTTTTAAAAGTGAATTAAAAACATGGATGTATATTCAGGCATTCAATCCAGTCAATACTTGATTTTTCTTTTTATTCTTTATTTATTTATTTCTTACTCTATTTTTGTTTTGTAATTTGTTATTGGAAGAGTTATGTAATATTCTTATGTTATTTTATTGTTCTTTATGTTATATTGGAAGCCGCCTAGAGTGGTCACATAGACCACTGGTTCTTAACCTTGGGTTAGTCAGGAGTTTTGGACTGCAACTCCCAGAAGCCTTCACCACCTGCTGTGCTGACTGGGGTTTCTGGGAGTTGCAGTTCAAAAGCATCTGAGTAACAAAGGTTAAGAACCACTGGTATAGACCAGATGGGCGGGATACAAAACAAACGAACGAACGAATGAATGAATGAATGGTTGTTGTGGGTTTTTTGGGCTCTTTGGCTGTGTTCTGAAGGTTGTTCTTCCTAACGTTTCGCCAGTCTCTGTGGCCGGCATCTTCAGCGGACAGCACTCTGAAGATTAGATCCCGGCCGTGAAAGCCTTCGCGAAAATAAATAAATATTGCATGCAGAACATAAATAGTAGGAGGAGCCATGGCTGCCTGTCATCTGACCAGCACCTTGCCAAATAGTCACTTTCATTCTGCACACCATAATTTATATGGGACACTAGCTATAGAATGTACTGTTCCTTTGCTTAATGAAGCATCTTCTGAAAGACAGATGATTGCTTTGCTGGATATATTTGTGGCATATACATGGGTATAGTGTTCCTTTAGAGTTATACACAGCAGTCACCATCACCCTTAGAAATGTTCTTCTTTTCCATTAAAATATTTCAAAGTTGACTTCTTGTTAAGACTAAACATTAAATATGTTTTGTTTCCAAGGTGGTTAAACTGAAGCAAATAGAACACACACTAAATGAAAAGAGAATATTACAAGCAGTAAATTTTCCTTTCCTTGTAAGACTGGAGTACTCTTTTAAGGTAAATATTAAACTCTAAAATATCTCTGATATTTATATTGTATCATTTCTTGTCGTTTATAGTCCAGTGGTTTCTTCCTTTTTCATAGCAAACATGATCAAGAACAAGGTGATTGTGGACTCTGTATTTAGTAAAAGGAGAAGTTATATTCTGTGCATCCTGATAACAGATAGTGAATCTCCAAATTGAGTTTTTACGACTAGAAGAAGTAATCTTACTTAAGCAAATACCCTAATCTTATTTCCCTCATCTTTCTGCGGACATCCATTGGCCACATTCACTTACTTGACCAAAATGTATGGGTTAATAAATTAGAGTATGCACAGGTGGGTAAACTAGCCAGCAAAAAATAGTTTGTTATGATACCTGATATTTGGCACTGGTAGGCTTCATCTTGAGTACTGTGTCCAGTTCTAGACTCATCAGTTTAAGAAGGATGCTATCAAATTGGAACAAGTTCAGAGGAGGGCAACAAAGATGATCAGGGGACTGGAAACTAAGCCGTATGAGGAAAGACTGAAAGAACTGGGCACGTATAGCTTTGAGAAAAGAAGACGGGGTGGGGGAAGATTATAGCACTTTTCAAATACAGAAGAGAGGTAGGATCTATTCTCAATCATCCCAGAGTGCAATAATGGAAGGCCAGATTTCAGCTGAATATGAGGAAAAACATCTTAGCTGTTAGATGGGTAGGGACATTCAAGAGAACATTGGGCAACCATAGTTCAGATCTACTGTACTTTGATTTGGATTTCTGCACTAAGAAGGGGGTTAGGTATAGGCCCATTGCAATTCTAATTATTCTTTGATTCTAATCCAGAGTTATAGTAAAGTGCACTGAGATGAACTTGGATTTCTAACATGTAGAAACTTGGGTTTAAAGAAGGAGGTGGGCAACTTCCAAAGCTTCCACACAGACATCAAAACCTTGCAAGGTCATGTAATCCTGGCAAGTGGGGAATTACAAGGCTTTTCCATCCTTTGACCCATTTTAGTTACATTTTAGTTACAAACACAACTGGAACTGATAAGGAATCAGTTATGGTTGTGGGAAAAACAACCCTGTTCAGCCTGCAACAGATAGTGTGGATCAAACATCTGGCAAAATTACCCTCGCACTTCCCAGAAGGGTGTGAAGGGGCTTTGGGAAGTAAAGTGTTTTTGGATTTTTGGTTTTTTGCAATTGAGGGGTATAGGGGGTCACGACTAATAATTGCTTGTTTGGCTCACATTGAATTAAGGTGAAATTCATCAACCAAAAATGAAAGCTTCCTTATTTCTTCTTTTGGACACATTGGAATTAAATGCAGAAAGGATCATAATGCAGTTTATCCTGCTGAAAGCAATGGAATGGGCTCAATTGATTTTAATTCCTTGTCAAGCTAAATGCTTTCTCTATAAATCTTCTTTTTCTGTGTCAAGGGGAGAGGTTAAAAAGTTATACCTTTAGGTGACGCATCTTTATGTTCCTATGCATCTCTGCATTTCCAACTTGAATATTTTTCACTTTCTCTTAGGACAACTCTAATTTATACATGGTAATGGAATATGTTCCTGGGGGTGAAATGTTTTCACATTTAAGAAGAATTGGAAGGTTCAGGTAAGAACAATTATTATTTATTTATTTATTTATTTTATTTTATTTATATCCCGCCTATCTAGTCGATTGAGACCACTCTAGGCGGCTTACAACAAGAGGTACAACAATGAATAAAAACAGTTTTACATAAAAAACTTTCAACAGTTAGGTTAAACACTAGGAAAGAAAAGAGAGGGGAATCAGGAATTAACTAGGGGGGAAGGCCTGCCGAAACATGAATGTTTTTAGTTGCTTTTTGAAAACAAATTAAGAAACCACTTATGGAAGCGTGTGATATTGTATAACTGATACTGGGCAGGGCAGGAGATACAAGTCACAGTGCTCAACTTTCAGAGCCTTAACAGATACCGTAACAGATCCATACAAGCTCAGAAATTATCAGAAGGGACTTTAAAATTTCTCTCTCAGTAATTTTAGAAGATTTCTGAACTGATTTCGTTATTAACAGTTGCTACAAATGTATCCCTCAAATTATTTCATCAATATTTTTTAAAATCATAAATTTGATGTAGTTTTAGAATACCACTGTGCTATGACACATTCCATTTCAATGAAAATGTACTGATTATGGTCTATCTGTAATTGCAATTGTTGTTAAAAACCTTTTTTTTTTGTTTTACAGTGAACCACATGCACGATTTTATGCAGCTCAGATAGTGCTAACGTTTGAGTACCTCCATTCACTAGACCTCATCTACAGAGATCTAAAACCTGAAAATCTTTTAATTGATCAACAAGGATATATCCAGGTATGATGCAGATGAATATTTATATATGAAGCATCATTCCTTGAAATAGAAAATAAATGGTGTTTAATTGTTACGAAGTTGTAAGAAATTTTCTGGTAATAATATATCACCATGAACAAAAATGGTAACAATTCTTTTGTTTGATAAATTAACCAAAGGGAGTTATGAAACTTCATTTAAAATAGCTTATATTTTAAGATGATTCTAATCAAGGTTAATTGAATACTACCTAATATTAAGCATAGCATGTTTAGTACATATGCTTCCTAGTTAATTCTTCTTTGTGTTGACCACTTTTAATAGTATACATTCTGTCATCTCATTTATAAAATTTGAAGCTTTTAAAATGTGCCATAACATATGGAACCACTTCTGTGGTTGAATATTTTCTGAAACAGAAGGTTCTTATCTTTTAAAACAAAAAAAGGTGCTAACTGTTTTTCTATGCCACCAGGTCACAGACTTTGGTTTTGCAAAAAGAGTAAAGGGCAGAACCTGGACGTTATGTGGGACTCCAGAATATTTGGCGCCTGAAATAATTCTCAGCAAGGTATTCAAACATGTTTTACAATGTTAAGCACACAATATTAAAAGAGGAATAGTGCAGATCCTAACACACTTACTTGGATGATGTTTCAGCTGAAACCAGTAGGGCTTAAGTAAAGGCAATGATGATTGAGGCAGTACAGTTATATAAGATACAGATTCATACAAAATCTCCCAATACAGTAATTGAGTTTGCAATCTACAAAAGTGATCAGGAAAGAAGTAGCAAAAATGTTCAAGATATCCTAGAAATGAACAGTCTCAACTATTTTTAGATATAAGAAATATTGATAGGAAGGAGGCTTTCCTTTTATGTACTGTATGTGTTAACCAGACTCTGCATATATATCTTACTGCAAGCCAGTCATCTAAGTTAGTGTACAATGAGCTTGTTAACTGATTGCAATTTGTTGTTGCAATTTATTCCATGCACTGCCGGTGTAAGATTCTTGTGAATGTGATTTTTGTGATCAGCAGGAGGAAGCTTCAAAATGTAACTAAAATATTTTCAAAAAGGGATGAGCAGATATAGTTTTCTTTTTTAAAAAGAGGGTTAGTGTTCAAAAATACTTCAAGAAAAATGGAAAGCCTGGTTGCCATACCTACGAACCTCATTATCCATTAAATTTAGTTTCAGCATTAATAGGTGCCCATTTCTGACGCTGAATGAACCTCTGACACATTTTCTGTGTGTTTCAAACTAGCAGTGATGTGTTGAAGAGAAAAATTCATTTTCATTTATAAAATACTCTGTCTGACACTATATATTTGCAGATTTCCTCAGAAAGAGTTTAAGGCTGCTGTCCTGTTCACACTTACCTCAGATTAAGGCATATTAAATAAAGTGGCACTTAGGTCTGAGTAAACATGCATGTTATTGGGTTGCATGTGGAATTGTTGTAATTATGTTTTATATCTGAGATTTGCTATTACAAGAAGTGGTACTGATCATACTTGGGTTTTTTTTTTAAATCAGGGCTACAACAAAGCAGTAGATTGGTGGGCTTTAGGAGTATTAATTTATGAAATGGCAGCTGGATATCCTCCATTCTTTGCAGATCAACCAATCCAGATTTATGAAAAAATTGTCTCTGGAAAGGTAAGCAAGTAATCTTGGAAATAATTTCTTTTGGCACTACATTCCTGGAAATAACTCAAATCATTTTCACCAACATTTATGCTACTTGTGTATTCCTGATTGATTTTAACTCTAGAAAAGAAATTGGTCACTTCTCCCCTTGCAGTCACATGAACATAGATCCAAGGTGCTATATAAAGGCCTTTCACTTTTGGAAAATGTTGTTATTTTTAGAAAAGGTTGAGTATTAAGGGAAAACTACCATAGTGGATTAACAGTTAAGGAGTATGCATTCTTAATTTTTTTTTAAGTGGCTTAAAGGTCAGTAATTCAGATGGAAGTTGTGATGGCCTTATTTGGAGGTATGGTGGTGGTCAGATAATTTCTGACAACAAACAAATTTCCACTACAAAATCTTAGATACTAAGAAAAACTGATGTGATTTTCTGATGGTCTATGTAGAAGGCTGTCTGCCAGGCCAAGAGCGGATAATATGGTGAACTCTATGCCCAAGAGGGTTAAGGCAGTGCTGCAAAATAATGGTGGCCACACAAAATATTGGCACTTTGCGCCCAGTTTTGACATTGTCACTTAGGGGTGTACTCACTTTTGTTGCCAGCAGTTTAGACAGTATTGGCTGTGTGTCGCGTTATTTTGAGGGGACACCACATTTACACTGTTATACTAGTAGTATACTCACTGTATTCTGTCCTCTGAAGATGCTGGCCACAGAGACTGGCGAAACGTTAGGAAGAACCACCTTCAGAACACGGCCAAGAAGCCCGAAAAACCCACAACAACCAGTATACTCACTGCTTTACATTGCAGCCAAGTGTCATTTCTTCAGTACTGTGATATGAAAAGATATACTAAAATATTTATGAAATGTGAGGGGGTTTACTCACTTCTGTGATATACTGTATGTTTACTATCAAAAGCTTCTCCAAGGGTTAGTCCAGTATCTGAAACAATTGCCTGAGTAACATATTCATATTAATTTCAGCAGTCTGCATACCAATGCACAAGCCATCTTGCCTAGGCCATTACCAAAACTTTTAAGAATTTTCATCTACCAACTGCAGAACTGGTAGTGTTCCATTTTCTTAAATATTTTCAAGCATGACATATGAGGATATAAGTTTCTGAACCTAAACAAACATTTAAATTTTTGTTTAGGTTCAGAAATTTATATTGTCATATGTAACCCTTGAAAATTAATCAATTAATTAATTAATAGATTTCTATACTGCCCTATTAATGTAAGGCACTATTCTGAGCAGTTCACAAAACAAATAAAATCAAACAAAAATACAGTCAAACAAATAAGAGTAATAAAATAAAAATAAATCACAACAGTTAAATGTAGATTTGTACATTCATTGTTTCTTCAGTGCTTCAAATGGAACAATTGAAAATGTGCTCCTGATTATTCTTGCTACATTGTACAGCACAAGAGTACATATTTGAGAGTCTACAGCAATAGTTCAGGAACAAAACAAAGCACCAGAAAGAAGGGTGTCTGAAACTGCATTTTAAAACTCTTTTACCATGCACATTCCCCCAAGTTTATTCACACGGCCACTGTCCACATGTGTCACAACTTTATCCAATATCAAATAGTATTTTATAATAAATATTTGTTAAATTAGTAAGATATACCTAATGCAGTTTTAACAGTGTATTCAGAACTTTTCTTAGAAATTATTTATTTTGGAATACTTGGAGACAGAGTCAGATCATTATAGGAAGGTCAGATTATTCCAGTCGTGCTTCCCACAATAAAGAAAAATAAGTAATTTTAAACTTTTAATTTTAAATCTAAATTTTAAAAAGTTATTGTTAAATGTATGTCTCTTTAAAAATGAATTTAAAGTTTGTAACTTTAAAATATTTACTTTAAAATGCGTTACAGCTGAGAGATCTCATTGTGGAATATAGATTATAAACTCTAGTTCTATTTTATGCAGCAGTATATTAATATAATTCATTTTTGGATTTTGTATATAGAGTCTGACAGTTCAGGGACTGGGCCTTAATTTTATGGAGTTCTATAGGTTTTCGTATAGATTATTCAAGTTAATCTTACTGTCTCCTCTAGCACTCTGTTTAGTGGTTGCCATCAGAAAAATGCAATTCTCAGACTGGATTTGTTTCTCCCAATATGTGCCCGCTAACAGCACTACATAAAAATGAGAAATAACAGATGTGATCAGCCCCGTTTTCCAACTCTGGTTAAAGTTACTCCTGCAGTTTTCTTCGGCATGATATAATGTTGGAAATCCATGGAAGCCATATTACACAGTTGCCAAGACTGCTTTCAACAGTTTCCTTGAAAGATGTTGATTCTGAAGAGTAGCAACCCTACCTGTTTGCCTTTTGAAACTCTTCGTATAGGAAGATAGGCCCCTACCTCTGTCTCTGAAAGTGTATACCTTATCAATAAATACATGATTATTGGTTAAAGTTAATCTGGGAAAAGTGATTGTGTATGTATATTACAGTGGGGAAGTGTCAAGTGTTTTCAGAGTGTCATTCAGACACTTTCCGAGTGTCATTACTCTGAAAGATCAAGTCTTTCAGAGTAATGATTTAAATCATGATTTAAATCAATTTAATTTATGTGAAATTAAATTGATGCTCCAAATTTTCATTTGTATTTAGTTGCACTGGAGATTAGGAACTCTCCCCTATCCCAGCCCAGCAGACTCAAAAGCAAACAACAAATCTGGCCTTATGCTACTTACCACTCTAGCCAGAGTTCCCAGATTGCATTTAAGAAGAAGCCACAGATGGAAGGTCCATGCTTCCATCTGCAGAGAAGCCAAGTGAGCAGAATTGAGCAGCAGCAGCCAGCTTTTGTTGCCTACTGTGACGTGCAAATGCAGCCACATTTTTTGAGAGATGTTTTTGATTTGGTTTTTGCCAAAATTCACTGCCTGTAGTTTAGGATTAGAGAAAAAAACTCATACCTAAGGTACATGAGGTTGTTCAGTGTACAAGTATTGGTTTTATTCTAGAAAAAGACCCTCTTCAATCTGATATAACATATCTAGTCCAACTCTGTGCTTGATTATATTGTTTTTCTTAAGTTTCAACTTCCACTGTGCTACTACTAAAATGCAATTCATCTTGGGGGTTTTCCTTGGTTTTCAGAAGAAAGAAACAGTGTTATATACTGTAACAGTAAATGTGGCTGGTATGTTTTATAGGTACGGTTCCCATCACACTTCAGTTCAGACCTTAAGGATCTACTAAGAAATTTACTCCAAGTAGACTTAACCAAACGATATGGAAATCTCAAGAATGGGGTAAATGATATTAAAAATCACAAATGGTTTGCCACTACAGATTGGATTGCCATTTATCAGAGAAAGGTATGTTTTTACCTATTTAGGATAAAACAAATGATAGTATGCAAGGACAAAGGAAGATACCTTCCCCATTACATAGTAGACATGGTACTTTTACAGGATTTCCAAAAGCACTTCCATCTTACTTCTTAAAGCAATGGATGCATTTCTCTTGGGCAGCAGTTCTTTTGCCTTATATCTTTGTTTTCTGTGCTAATTCTTGAATTGTTCTCTTTTTTCTGCTCCAAAATAAGAAGTCTTTTCCTCCTTTCCCTTGTAGTCAAATTGACAGAAGCTTCTACCTTCTTATTTTCAGTAGCCTATCTTTATTCCCTGTAGAAATGATGACTGCAATCCTATGGTACTTGCCACAATGTAATGTTACCCTACAGAAGTTTGCAGGGAGTAACATCCAGGCTGTCTGCATTGTATGCTTGATTGTGGACATGACTGCACAATTAGTTTTACTGTAGAACTAGTTGCTGGATATGACTTACACTTTGGCACAAACCACTTGTATAACTTAACAGGATTCAGGCAATATTTTAGTTTTCTTATTGAGATACTTTTCCAAATATAGAACCTTATTATTTTTTCCATAGACAAAGGAAGCAATAAAGGGTTCATGTCCTTTAAGCATGATTCATAAACTGTTTCTAATTTGCCCTAGAATAGTCATGGGGTGCCCAAAACTAGTTTTTGTGATACAAGTTATAATTCCTTTCCTTGATCACACAGTTCTGGAATTAATCATTTTCTGAACATCACATCTCTTTTAAGAACTTAAGTTTTATCTCTGGATATAATTCTGCATGGATTCAGCATGTCCTCATGTGTTATGCTCTACAGTGGAGTTTTTGAACTAGATTTGCTTTAGATGTAGTTCAAAAACTAAGCAAGTTCCTATACAGAAGCATTTTTAAAAGGCACTAGTGATCCGGTGACTTATGGCTTGCATACCGGCAGAAAGGGCTCCGCATGCCAGCTGTGGTCCATGTGCCATAGGTCTGCCATCGCTGATATAGTAGTTATAATCAGTAATGTATTAATTATTACAAGGCACGCCCTGGTTAACACTTTGGGACATTCTTTTATTTTGAAGGGAACCTCTGAAACAAGACGTTCACTAAAGAACAGCAATTTTCTCATATACTTTCTAAAATAACCCACTTAGTATACAGTTTGTATGAAAGGAGATTTTCTTTTGTTCTAATAATCTTTTGTGACTATTCCCTATTAAATAAATATTTAAACAGATCTGTTATAATTTTTCACAGCTCTAATGATATAGGCTGTTCTTTAAAACTTCCTGGAGCAATGATAGTAAAAAGGGGAGAGGGGGGCTTACTTCCTCGAAGTTTGAATTTTTATTGATCTAAAAATGTTGAAGTCATATACTCTGCATTTCAGTCTTAATGATCCTCAAGGTGGTTTGTAAACAGTAAGTAATAATATTCCCAAATATTTGCAAATGTGAAACTCAGCAGCCCCTAAGCCTTCACTTGATAGATCAGGCCAGAATAGCCTTGAGGGTAACTGCTGGCTGGAGCCAAATATCCTTTGTACCAAAGGGGGAGAAAGAAAACATCACAGTTGCTCCCTTTCTTGGTCAGTGGATGTGTCAAGATTGGCCTGTCCCTTGCCATGCAGTCTTTCCTGGGGGAAAGACAATGGTATCTCTTTGTGGCAGCAAACTCCAGGGTAAGATTTACAGGACCAGGGGTCTCCAAACTATGGCCTGCGAGCCATATCTGGCCTGCCTTGCTTTTTTATCCGGCCCAATGAATGCTGCAGGCTCAGGTCTGTTCCTTTCAGGCCATGCATGCACGCGCATGTCTTCAGCCCTCGAAAATGTATAAAATATATGATGTGGCCCTGATGCTGAAAAGTTCAGAGACCCCTGTACAGGACCATGGCCAATACTGTTGGTATAGTTTAGATGGAGACAGTACAGTGGTGCCCCGTATAGTGAGGTTAATCCGTTCCGGATTAACCCTCGCTATACGGAATCATCGCTAAGCGGGTAGGGGAAACGTATTGAAACGCATTAAACTTCGTTTAATGCGTTCCAATACCTTTGTTTCTTACCCGTTCAGCGAGGATTCCAGGTGCCGGCAGCCATTTTCGCGCCTTCGCTAAGCGAGGGCAGGGCGCGAAAACGGCTGCCGGCAGCCATTGCCGGGCTTCCGGCGGCCATTTTGGAACCGCCGATCAGCTGTTCGGCGGCTCCAAAATGGCCACCGCAATACCCGATCTTCGCAATGCGGGTTTTCCCCATTGCGAAGATCGGGTATGTTTCTGTATAGCGATCCCGAAAACGGGATCGCTATACGGAAACATCGCTATACGGTGCACTCGTTAAGCGAGGCACCACTGTATATGAATCAGCAACTTTCCCACCAACTGACAAAGCATAGTCTATAGAATTATAATTGAGTTGGAAAGAGCCTATAAGTCCTATCGAGTCCACCCCCCCTGCTCAATGCAGGAAGCCTATCTGAATTTCAGGTTGGACCATGGTTGTCTTAGCACTGGATGAACAATAAGGCTGCTTTAGTATACTGTACAATGCTAAATTATGGTTTTGTTTATGCCAGGATGCAGTGAGCCCCAGGCTGGTGTGTTTTATGTTTTTATCCCACTTTTCCATATAAAAATAGCACTCCACTTGACTAATAATAAAAAGTTTAAAAGGCCAAATTGAAAATATCTCTTTATGCAGTCAGCACAGATATGAGATGGAAAAATAAAAGCTTCTTTCCTTTCAGATTAACTGCAATTTAGAATTATGCCTGAACTGTAAAGCATAGTTAGCTTAATTTCATAATTTATTATTTGAGTTTGGTCTATTTCCCCAAAACACTGTAAAGATTAGCCACTGCCAATCATGGTTTAGATGTCCCATGAAGGTAATCTAGGAAAGTGAAACCTTCCACCTTTCCTTACAGTGTTGGAAAAATATAAAAAAGATAACATGTAGCAATACTTAGTTTGGTCAGCTGCTGTAATTTACTTTGCAAAATCTTGCAAGAGATTACAGAACCCACCATACATTGATCTGAGTTTGTCTCTAAAAATAATATGCCTCTTGGTTTCAGGCATTGCTCTGAAGCTGTATAGATTTTGCAGAGTTTTGATACTTTTCTTAAATTCCTCTGTGCATTCATAAAAACTGGAATATCTCACTCTTGAATGATTTTGTTCCATAGTTAAGAGTTTTTAACATTTTTGAATGCATGACTATACAGGGGCAGCTCAGTGACTGAGTGGGAGGTTCACCTATATAATTTCAGGCTCCAGTCATAAGCTACCTGTGGCTGAAATCTATTAGAGGCACATGTTTCAATTCATTCCCCTATTAAGAAGTCTTGGCAGATTCTTCCTTATGAATTTTTTCAGATTGACAACATTTCTGTTCTGTTTCAATATAGGTAGAAGCTCCCTTCATACCAAAATGTAGAGGCCCTGGAGATACGAGCAACTTTGATGACTATGAGGAGGAAGATATCCGTGTGTCTCTAACAGAAAAATGTGCAAAGGAATTTGCTGATTTTTAGTAGTCAATGACGGAGAAGAGGACATCAGGGCTCACACTGGGATCTTTGCACTCTGTTAACTCATGAGATGGAGCTGAGACCATCCTATGTCAAAACAATTACCTAGTTACTTCATTCCACAAAGCTGACTGAGGTCTTTATTGCCATCTTCCATGTGTGCAGTTTGCACCAACCCTTATAACTAGGCACAATTAAGAAGCACTGTTTGTGCTGTAACACAGAATATAGACCACTTTTCCTATTTACCTTTGGGTTTATGTTGTTTCTTTTGTTTTCTATGTATTTGTTAATTTTCCCTCTCTTTTCTCTTGCCCCTTTTAAAATGAAGCAGCCTTTTACCTAAGAACGCTCCGTTTTATTTTTGAAAAATGTATTTGTGTGCGTGAAGCTGAAGGTGTTCTGGCTAGTATGACTTAGACCGAAGTGAAAGATAAGTGTTGCTTCTAGTCTGTGCCAGCCAATCCTCCCGTGTCTGTCTTTGTGTCTGAAGCTACAGTTCGCAGGGTTTTTTGTTTCGTTTTGTTTTTTTAGTAGTAGCTCAGACTAAACCTAGCCAACTTCATTAGCATTTTCGAAGGTAGTATTTATCGCCATATGAGTGTATGCTGATTCACTTAAACACATCTTCCTGGAGACTGACCAAATTTAGTTAATATCAGAATTGGACAGTTGTGTAGGATAAGTAGCTAGACCCTGTGCCTTGGTTTTCTACATGCCGGCAGTTCTTCTCCCTGCCTCATAGATCTTTCTTTTTCTTTCTTTCTTTTTCTTTTTTCCCTTTTCTTCTTGGGCAGTAGCTAAACATGCCATAAGCATACTGTGCTATGAAACACACAGTCTCAATAAGCAGGAACAATTCTATCTAGCTTGGGCTTTGGACCATATTTCACCATGCTTAATAACCTGCATTTAAATAAATAGCTGTTTAATTGGGTTTTAAAACACCTTAAAGCCCAAAATACTGAAAAGATTTGGTCAGTATTGTCAGAGATTAGGACTGATTTTTAGTAATGTCAATGTTGGGGCTCCTGAAGTATTTCACATTTCAACCCTTTTTTTATTGAAGGGGGAAAGCTTTTTTTAAAAAAATATCTCTTTAGCTATGACAAGAAATGGTTTAGCAAATTGACAATTTAGTATTAAAATATTGATGCATTGCTAGATAAACATGGTATTTCTGTTAGCTGTGAAGAATAAAGAAGTAAATGCCAAGTTTTTATTCTGGTATACTATATTAGTAAATCAAGGATGGGGTGCTGCTCCAATCATGGTTCTTATCAGCAGCGCTTTATTTGCACAGAAAAAAGACAAATTTAAAAACTGCCACCATCTGTGATGTGGCATCTTCATTTCTAAAATACTTTATTTTCATTGAAATGGAATGTACAGTCACACACAGAATTGTTTCAGTTGCATTAAGTTTCATATAATCTCACCAACTGACTTAAATGGGTATTGCTGCCATGTGCTCGCTTCCAGCACTTTTACACACACTTATTTCAGTGTTGGTTAAGAATCAGTGGCTCAGCACACCTTTTTGTGCTATTAAATTTACCCATACAAGTTTTTAAGTTGGTCTGTCTCAAGATGGTGGATTGGTATGTTTAAAATAAAGTAGGGTAATGTGGGATTTTTTTTATCCATTTACATGCATAGAAGGATGGAGTGTTTTATTGAACTGATTTAGATTGCTTATGTAGTTATGATGTTTTTTTGTAGGATGCCAGTGCAGATGAGAACATTGGCATTGCTTCCTTTTACACTCCTTTAACAAAAACCTCTGCAGACATTTTACAGCCTGGAATAAGGTGTATCATAGAACATTCAGTCTGTCTTTTTATGTTGTCAAGCAGTTTCATACATCATCCGCATTAGGAGTCTGTTGGCCATATCTGTCCACCCCTGTCAACGTATGTGTACGACAAGCATACAATATACTTTGCTGTAGCAAATTTTGTGTAATAAATATATTGTCACATTAATAAGTTCAGACATTATTTGTATGGAAAATGTTACAAACTTTTGTATTTCATCTAGAATGAGGACATGCTGTTGAATGCTAGCGCTATGCGAAAAAAAATCTAAAGTAACTTTGTTGTTTATGAACTTCAAAGATTTTAATAAATGCTGGAGATCACCTTTTTATTATTATTATTCTGGTATGAAGTTTAGCCTATAGATAGATTGGATAATACACAGGACGTGTCTTCTCTGAAACAGGTTCTGAGACTTTAATCTTGATGTCTAATTAGGGATGAAAGGTGGGGATCCTAGCTTGTTTGAGATCTCACTTTAGGTGGATTTTCCTTAAATACCGTCTTGATTCCTTATGATTTATGCATATTCACTGTGCCAGAATCGAAGGCAAAGGTAAAGCCTGTGATGGAGTAATAGATTCAAAGTAAAGGGGCTGGGCAAAAGAGGAGGATGCCATTTCCAAGGCATTGAAATAACAAACTTGGCAATATGTGACATGGCCCTATCATTTTAAACATACAAAAGCCACGTGAAGATAATGCTGCCTGTATTTAATTTCAAAACCCTTATTATCATATAAAATACTGTATATTTGACAGTAGAGACTTGTTAATTTTACACAATTTGAGGAATTAAGTGTTGGACTGTATGGTATCTTTTAATTGTATTCTAGTTGTATGTAACTCATTTTCAACATAAAGGATTGTATCTTCATTAAGTAAACTGCTTCTTTTCTTTTCTTGTCAGCTGCATTAAAACCCTTATTTTTAAATCCTTTAAGTATTTTACTGATTTCTTTGCAAATAATTAGTTTGCTACAATAGTGTGCAATACAGTAAAAGTTTATATACAAAACTGCAAATTAAATTATGTACAACACTGCATAAAGACTGTGCTGCTTTTTTCTCATCAGGATATGTTGTCATGTATTCTGCTTTGCCATAGGACTTGAGCCAAATGATCTCCCCTGAACCTTATTACAAGAAAGTTTGTTCTGTGCTGAAAATTTCTGTCATCGGAATTTCAGTCATTCCTTTTCAGCTAGATAGAAAAGAGATTCCTTTGGAAAATAATTTTAGAGGAGGAGAAATTTCAACAAATCCTTATGGGTGAGAAGTCCAATCTTCTTTCACAGGGAAATACGCTTCCGGAGAATTGAAAGACAAAATATGGCAGTATTCATATCACCTTCTTCATAGAAGTATCCTCCTTCATTCCTGCTCCAGAATTTCCAAGGAAGGAGCATGTGCAACAGAGACAAAATTATTTATTTATTTATTTATTTATTTATTTATTTATTTATTTATACCCCGCCTATCTGGTCTACTTGATGTAAGGAATGTATCATTTGGAAGGTTTGGAGGAAGTGCAGAACTCAGTGGAGTCGCATGCCAATTCAGAATTTCTCAGAGGACATTTCTCAGATACATATTCCAAGAATCTTATTTTCCTTAATACCCTAGAGATAGAAAGTCATTTTGCAGTATTATTTCCAAAATTTCTCCGTTCACCTATTTATTTACTTCTTACTTACTTACTTACTTACTTACTTACTTACTTACTTACTTACTTACTTACTTACTTACTTACTTACTTACTTACTTACTTACTTACTTACTTACTTACTTGGTGGCTGTCAGCCCACCATTATCACCACACTGCCTTAGAATTGGGTCAGTTTTCAGTTTGGTGTTCAGTTCTGGAGCTACAGTCCCCTACCCTACTCAAAAGTAGCAAAAAAAAAAAACATGACACCATTTCCAGGCTATATCCCTGGTTTTCCAGCAGCAATTTGCTGCTGTTTTTACTTTATTTTTCCTTATTTATCTGTTTCTGTAAAATTGCAATTGTTTATCCTAAATACACAAGGAAATCTTTTGTTTGTACATTTATTTCTTGGCACATCCCTTAATTCAGTCCTCCTGAGCAATTTATGCCCCAGATCTAATTTGGTTTCTGAATTTGAAAACCGAAAAGATTATCATTTTGTATTTTTTCCACGAATGCAGATGACATTCAGAAATGTGACAGATTCCCAAAGAGGAGGATGCTTTGTCTGATTTGATTGTCCCACATCCAAACTAATTGATAAATTCACTTTGCCTTGTCCTGAAAACAATTCAGGCCATCCCACCTCAATCTGAAAGTCCTACAAATCGATGTGAATTCTGCCTTCAGACGAAGCTGGTGTACAGTAAATGGAGAAGTAGCCAAGTACATATAGTAAAGGAGTCACATCCTGTCAATAGCTGGCTCCTGTCCAAACATCCATACTGAATCTGCTAAAGTTTCTGGATCTTTTCAAAGATTGATATATGCTGCCTCCTATGTCTCATGACATATTCCATTCACAGTAGTTAGCAGTTTATGACAATGGCAGAAATTGCTTAATTAACTGATCTAATACATGCTTTTCTCAAGTATTCCTTCTTCTCAGCCCAAATATCCGTACATGGCATGCTTGTTTGTCCAGAATGGAGCAAGGGTCAGGATTAGAGATGGGGACAAATTTTAAAAAATTGTGATCTGTTTTGATTCATGATCCGTAAAGGTTAACGGATCAACAGATACGAATATACGAATACGATTTGATGAATCGATCGGTCAATACATCTTTGCTTTAAATGACTATAAAACTGGACCCAAACCACCTAGAGACACCATATTTGCAGGGAAGCTTCCTCAGACATGTTTCTACCACTCCTGAAAGGTTGGTGAACATTGGATCGCGGACCCCTGAGTTATATACTCACAAAGAGGACCCCTCCAGGTACTTAGAGAGTCTAGAATCACAACAGAGCTTCCTTTTTTAATATAATTTTTTAAAATTTTATTTTAACTACAACATAAACATAAAATACATAAACCAAAATACAATTTGACTGTGTTCCCCACCACCATAGCCGGGACCTCTTGCAGTTAATCCTCTTCTTCCTCTCTTCTTCTTTCTTCTCCAGAACTGCATTGATTCTTGATTTGGAGCTTTCCCTTTTCCTCTTGTTAGCACATATTCCAAAAATCTGCCCCATATATCATTCTTTTTCATCTCTCCTTTCTTAGTCTTTAAATTACAAGTTAACTTATCATTTATAGCAATTCATACTATTCTTCCATTCGAAATTCAGACTTTGATTTCCAATTCCTAGCTATTATTTATCTAGCTGCTCTTAATAAATTGGTAATCAATTCTTTAGTCATCATATTCCACATTCTCAAATATTACAAAGCTATCTCAGGATTAAATTCTATATCTTTTTCACATGTCATTTAGTTCTTTAGATTAGTTTCCAGAATCTTTGTACTTTTTCGTATTCCCACCACATATGAAAGTATGTACCAATTTCCTTCTCACATTTCCAACAGACATTCAAATAACTAGCATTAATTTTATTCAATTTTGTCGGTGTTAAATACAGTGGTACCTCGACTTAAGAACTTAATCCATATTGGGACTGCGTTCTTAAATCAAAAGGTTCTTAAGTCGAAGCACTATTTCCCATAGGAATGTATTGAAAACCATTTAATCTGTATCTGCTGTTTTTCGTTCTTAAGTCGAGGCGCTGTTCTTAAGTCAAAACATTAGTTCCCATAGGAACCAATGCAAAGCCACCACTAGATGGCAGATTTTTCTTCTTCTTTTGACCTAAGGTGAATTTAGGTCAAAAACAGGGCAGGAAAGATTTTTTCCCCTTTTTTCGTTCTTAAGTTGAGGCTCTGTTCTCAAGTCGAAGCAACTTTTTGCGAATGGAGCCGTTCTTAACTCGAATCGTTCTTACGTAGGGACGTCCTCAAGACAAGGTACAACTATACTATCTTAAGCCCAATTTGAAAGAAAAATCTTATTCTCACTGACATAAATCTTTAAACCCTCATTTTCCACATCTTCTTCCATCTTCATCATTTATTCTTTTTCCTAAGTTTTGTTCCTACGCTAACTTCAATCCTTCTTTCTCAGTCTCTTCTTCTTCTAGATGAAGCAGGAATTTATAAATTTTACTCATAGTACTCTTTACTGAATCAGGCATCTGAATATCTTCATATGATAATAGAAATTGTTCATACTTTGTATATTCTCTACCTTTATTATATTTCTTTACCTATTCATTAGTCCATCTTTCTAATTGCATATAATTCAACCATGATATATTCTTATTTTGAAGGATTTGTTTCATTTGATCTTTCAATCTCATTTTATACAACCAGTCTTTTAATCTAATCACCTTTTTCTTTAAATAATTCTGCATACAATTTCATATTGGCAGGAAAATTCTCTATTTCAGTCACTAATCCTAATGGAGACTTAAATGGACATTAATTCTTTCTATACTTGTACCAGATGTTTAACATAGTCTTTAAAATGGGTTCTTAATTTCACTTATTTTATATTTCTTAATCATACCAAACAGATATTTTTCAATATCTACCTGTATTTCTGACTATTCCGTTTTCCACCAAATTAACCTTTCTGGGTTATATATAATTTCCCCAATAAACCTCAACTGATTAGCTAAATAATAATTTTTTAATATTTGGTATGCCTACACCTCCTTTTTTGTTCTTCTATATCCATACTTTTTATTTATTCTGGCACTCTTCCCTTTATTACAATATTTATTAATCATTCCTTGCCAAAATCTAAAATCTTCTGTTAACTGTATTGGTAACATTCTAAATAAAAAAATAATTTTTGGTAGAATCTTCATTTTTATCAGTACGATGCTTTCAAACCAAGAAACTTTTAAGTTAATATATTCCTGTAGTTTCTTTTTAATATCTCCTTTTAATTTATTATAATTATGTTTTTATTTTGAGTATCTTTTACTAAATCTATACCTAAATACTTAACTGATTTACATATCTTAAAATCATATTTATCAACAAATTTTTCTTGTTCTAGTTTATTATGATTAAACATTATTTCAGATTTTTAACAATTTACACATAATCCTGTTATTTTTCCAAATTTTTCTAAATGAATTTTAATTCTGTCTGTACTTTCTAATGGGTTTTTCACTGTCAACAGGGAATCATCAGCAAATAAATTAATCTTTATTTTATTATCTTCACCCATACCTTCAATTAAATTGTCATTCCTTATTACATTTGCTAACATTTCAATAATCAAACAAAACAGAACTGGAGAAGAGGGCAACCTTGTCTGGTGCCTCGGCCTAGAGCTAGCTGCTCTGTCATCCCATCATTAACAATTACTGTAGAAGTATTCTCTAAATATAATTAGTCTGTTGTCCCCCTAAATTTCATTCCAAAACCCCAACCCTTTAAGAGGAACTTTAATGTTAACCATTCTACACAATCAAATGCCTTAAATATATCTGATAAACTACCTGCCTTTGATTTCTTTTTCTATATTATATATAGTATTCAAAACCCTCCTAGTTAAAATTTCCGTTTGTCTTCCCTTTAAAGACCCATTTTGATCCTCTTTAATATATTTTGTAATAAACTTGTTTATTCTGTTTGCCAAGATAGCAGTAAATATCTTTGCATCTTGATTTAATAATGAGATAGGTCTATAAGAACTTGGGTCTATCAAATCTTTATTGGGTTTTGGATTAAGAATTATTAATGAATATTTCCAATAAAGAATCTGGTATTTTCTCTCATTCCAATATCCCATTATAAAGTATTTTTAACTTGGGGATCAGTAGTGATTTAAAACTTTATAATATTTGGATCCCATTCCATCAAAGCCTGGAG